CCGTAGATTTAGATGCAGTTTGTCACCGGCGTAAAAGTTGAGTAGTGCTGTCCGACAGCGATGTTTTGTACCACTGTTCACTTATCCGCAAGCGGCGGCAGCGGCGGTGATCGTAGAAAGGGAAAGGGGTCCACCACGCACGCGGTAGAAATAGACAGTGGAACCGGACCGCCACCGCCGGAGCCCGTCACCGTCATTCACGTCACAACCGCCGACCACCACTCCCCGCCCCTTAGACCGCGCGTAGTTTGCCGTGAAAAGTAGCGTGTTGCGTAACGATAAGGTGAGGCGGRCGAGAAAGGGGAGGGGAGTTACGGTGGAATAGTCTCACTCTGTATGCCGTCAGGCACGTTTTTTTCTTATTTTTAAACCACGTTGTATGCGACCACGATGATGACGACGATTATTACGATAGTAATAGTAATAATAATAGTAATAATAATAGTAATAATAATAATAATAATATTATGTGCACATCGAGTACCGAGACGGCGACGTCGTCGGTGGGGCGCATGCGCCACCGAGTGAGTGCAGTACACACGCCGCCGAACCAGTTGCGTGTCGAAACAAACCGCACGCCGCCGCCGCCACCGTAGTCCTCGTCGACGTCGCCGTGCGTATTATACCATCCGCGGCACTGCGCGCGGTAGACACGACCATCGCAATTACGGTGTGAGTGTGTGTAAACGTGCGTGCGTGTGTGCTTTTTTAAAAAAATTTTGACCACGCGAATTTTTTTCACGAGTGTTTCCGCCGTCCGCAAGTGTGCCGAACAACCAAAGAATCGCGGCGACAACCATCGAAAATCATCTTTCGCATCGTATTTTTTCGAGATAATAARCCGTCGTCGTCACTTTTTTTCATAATTTATTTATTATTTCTACATACGTGTCTCGTCCACTCAACTGTCTGTATAGTGTACCTTTTTTCCGGCCGCGAAGGGGTCGGGGCTGTTTTCCCGCATCCGGTAGGTACGGGAAATAGTGTCGGTGGTAGAGGAGGAAAAATAAATATTATGAGAAGAGAAAAAATTGCTCAGATATTCTCGTCCTAGATCGCCTATATATATCTATCGTAATACGATTCAATATTATAATATACAACGACCGCTTGACCGATCGCCCGCCCGCCCGTCCGTCGCATTACTCGCGTGTTTGTTGTGTTAACGCGAGAGTGAGAGTTTGGGTTTCTTCCGGTTTCGGGCATCCGCTCGAGAACAAAATAAAATACTATGATTTACGTCTGCAGGATTCGATTTGGATTACCATCATGTACGGTAAGTGCAATGAGTATCCTTATATTAATATTATTATTATACGTAAATTATAATGTACTGCTGGTGCAGATGACGACGATCGGTTTCTAGATCGAATAACCCGATCGTCGGTTAGTATGRGTTCTTATGCTTTCATATTTTTTACTGATGTTCTATTATTGCACGACTGACTTGACTGATTATCATCCCCACGAGTGTGATGAATAGAGCATAAAAAAAATACAAATTCATGTCAAGCAGCAATATTACAATTTAAAATATTATTTTTTGACATCAAATTTCGTATTTAAAATGTAATAACTTATTAGTTGCTATATTAAATTATATTGGTAAAGCCATTCGCAAGAAAAGATATTTAAACGAACAGTAATCGCGAACGTCCMGTTTTCCATATTATATCTAATGCAGTTGAGGACAATGTATTATATTATGGTATTTTATATTATTATATTAGTCGCTTCTCAAAATTAGTCTTCAGTTAAATTATGTACGCTTTAAATTTAAAACTCAATAGATAACTATTGAAAAATAAAAACACACGAGAAGCTTTATTCAACTTTATAACATTACTATCAGCATGTAGCTTACAAACAATAATAATAATATATGTTGCAATCAAACGATCACCAGATTATGTAGTTTACCACACTCAATTTCACTAAGATCAATATTTAAATTACAGTAACATTTTCAATTACACAAAACTCGCATTCAATATCGAAGGACTAACATTTTATTGGTAGATACCTATATAAGTTGTGTAAACGACCCTTAAATGCTRTTTGAACAATATAATATTGTAACAAACGTTACTATATTGCATGAATATCGGCTACTATAATATTATTATATATACCTGCAGTATTCGGTAGGTATATTTTCTATGTACTTTCGCGTGTCTAATACGGGACTTATATATTTAAACTAAATATATAAGTGTATAACCTTAACTAATTATTAATCCGTCGTCAAAAACGTCTACCTATCGGCGATCGGCTGTCGACTGTGACATTTTCAACAAAATAGGTGTCTTACTATCGTTTGCATGGTACGAACCGATGAGATTGTTAGCCCGACCTCTCGACGGTCGGTCGATGTTTTATTCGGTGTGTAGGTGAATTGTCGTCGTTGCCGTTCAGTGATTTCGAAAACGAAAGTGAATAGTATTTGAATACGGTCTGGCTATTCTATACCACCGCCATCGTCGCAGTGAATAGAATACAGCCCGAACCTTTTTTAACCGTACCGGTGGCCTTGTAATACATATATAGGTGCTATGTTCAATAACGATTTTCGAAGCAAAACGAAACATACAAGAGATCCATATGTACATATTGTGTATATTATATATGATTTATAATTATATATGCGCGATATAACTAATTTCGGACGCGCTGACGATTATTAGATTCGTGGATGTATTTTATTTATGACGACAATGTAACGTACGCGTAGGATGAAAACGTCGAGACCTTATAGGTTTTGGAAGTAATGGAAGTCCTTCGGGCTTAGGTCATCCTCAAGAACTTTACGGCACGTTAAACGTGTTTTAATGTCGAAACGATATTACTCCCAACGTGTCACCTTAAAAGCGCCTCTCGGCCTTAATGTGTGTTCTTGAGAAAACTTCGAACTGTTTGGATGATGTTATAACATTACGAGTTCGGAGTCGGTMTATACAAATGAATGCACAGAGAAAATAAAACACGAAAGTACTTTTTAAAGGATTTAAGAAGAAGCAATAATTCATAACAATAAAAACGTATTCATAATATTGCATATTATATTATATTATATTAATACTATAAGGGTGAATAACTGTCAAACTTTATTAAAGTTAAATAGACGTAGATTGAGACTAGTAGTATTATTTTTAGACCACGATATTATTATTTCACGTATACAAAATATGATGTGCACGTGTAGTTATAAAGCGAATATAGTTGATGCGGCTGAAACACGCATCATTGCGAATCAATTTAACGAACATTACAACATCATAGGTATTTAATAATGTAATGTCTCGACTTTTAAAATTCTCGCGTCATCCAAAGTGATGTGATAAAATTTAGACAATATCCAATGGTCTGTCGCACGGACAACAACAAAAAACACGCACCACTAACACTACACCATAATATGTTCGCTATCTAATCACCCGTTGAGTTGACCTAATTCTAAGTTCGATTACGCCATGGCGTGGTATAATTCCGCGGAAATAAAAACGTGCCTGAAAGGTGTATTCTCATTGCAAACATAAAAATACAGATATACCGCAATTATGATGTATAGTATACAGTCGCGGTTTTCCACTATTGAAAAAAAAAACATACGCGTGTTTGTTAAGAATCATTATAATTTAATTTTTTATTGTTTATCACATCATATTAAGATATCTATATGATGCACCCCATCGCTCGCGGCCGATCTGTTCGTAGATCAGATCCATGCGATGGAGATACCAACAATATAATATACATCAGTCATTCAGACCATCGCAGATATTCAACAGTTTTCGTTTGAGCTATAACATTTGCTTCTAATCTATAAACTATGGCCTCGATGTTATACACACTTTCAAGAAGATAATTCGTGATAATGTGACCCCTGATTATTGTTGACGTCAATTTTTTTAATTGGTCTTTATAGTTCAGAGAAATGCTAAGAAAAATTCTCAATCGATCAATGTATACATAGTTTCACCGATTATGGTAAGAATAATAATTTACATACAAATTCGATGCCCTGGTCTGCAATGTACGAGCATCGTCGCAAAATGAGTTATAGTTCTGTGAACGTTGTTTTTTCCCAACTATAAAGTATATAAAAAAGCATTTAAATAAAAGTGTAGCAAGAAAATCGTAATGGATTTTTTAAAAAGAATATTGTAACATTATGGCAGTCGGATTGGGTTGTGCACGTGACCCTTTAACATCAACCTCAAAAAGTGGTACCCCTTTAACATTTTTCTCTGGTAAAATTAAATTGTTAGTGTATATGCATAAAAATCGTGGTCTGCAATCGCCCTTATGCGGTCAAAACCTATTTTCCTTATCGTTTTCTATAGTGTATGATATATGTGTGTGTGTGTGTGTGTGTGTGTTCGTAGGCTAGCACTAAAGTGTACAAGATTTTAATACTTGGTGAAACCACAATGGGGATAAACAAGGCGTGACCTACCTTATCCTCTCACAATTTTATCAATAGTAGTAATCCGCCACCATGAAGTTCTCGTACTATTGCTCATTTTTTGCGGGTCGACCGGAACCCGCCGCGCCACCCTGGAACATCTAGACGGTTAGTCTTATAGGTTATATTGGAGAAGGTCAAATACTTATATACCTAATAGGTACATCGTACATRTTTTTTCGTCAGTACCCGCATTACGTGACGTTTGCAGTATATTATAAATGAATAGATATTACATATATATATTTTTTTTTTTTTGGAAATCGTTAAGTTCATGATATATTAGCTTCGACTACAGATGGCTGCGTGTACAAGAATTGTTATAGGGGTGAATTCACACTATAAATATTATAATACCATGAGACTTTTCCCCATTTGATTTCTTTTTTTTCAGCATGGATCAAAAAATCGATGATTGGCATATTTTTGCAGGTTGCAATATAATAATATTTTATTATTTTAACATAATATTTTAATTCGGTGAGCATATCCATACAATCATATTGAATGCCATAACATGGAAATATATGCATGAATCGAACGGTTTCTTGGAGTTATTGGTGTCATAATATCTATAGTGTCTTTACACGCACTATATGTTTTGTTGCTAGACAAATTAACATMGATATCGGTATCGATAAATACAATGCATATATATTATCATATTTATTTTATACATGATCGATAAATGTTCTTTCAATACGTACTTTTCGATCTGTAATATATTTTAATCTAAGATAATTTTCTTTTATAAAAAAAATGACGTATTATTTTTGTTATCATAAATGAACAATAAAAACATTTAATTAATAGTTTCAAAATCATTTTTTCTTACTTCAATATTAGAAATATTTATAATATAATAATTTTAAAATACATTTTTTTGATTTTTTCAGATAAACCTATTTAGTATAGTAGGTATATATAGGAACTATCTAATATTTTTCATAATTATTAATTTTTTTTTTTCTTTTGGTTGCATCATGATTCATGAATACATTTCTTAGGCCATATATTATAATACGTTTTGTACGTGATTCCTTGTTCATCTATATAATATAATCGTATTATACATGTATATTGTATAAATTCACAGTCACATAAGAAGCCGCTTTACTGCAATAATCTTCCGTTTTACAATTATCTGCAGCAGATATGGTCGTKTTGTCCATCAAATTTACCTATAGGTTAGGTACACATAATATTACGTAAATGTAAAAATTCCACGTTTTTTCCTTGTTACATTGTATACTCGTCGAATGGTTTTTTAATAGATCGTGATGCTATCTTTCGAACGTTTGATTTACGACTCTGAATATTTCTGCTGTAGAGTGTATTGTGTTGGTGTATAGCGTTTTTGTAAAAATCTAAGTATCTACCTATAAAGGGGCCCATTATTTTAGAAATTAGAAAGAAAAGTGACCACCATGTAGTCATTTAAACGAATGCGAAATGATCAATTAATCTTAATTGTTAGGGACGCACAAGAAAGCACCGTTTTGTGCGTGTAGCTATTCGCCGGTCAACCAATTGTGTTTAAATGAAAAATATACAATGTATATTGTATAAATACGAAAATCAAAAAATTGGATATACCAAGCAGCGAACGCTGTATTTGATATTGGATTATTATGGTATGACTCTCTAAGTTTCATTCATTTACCAACGATTCATTACAAGAGATTATATTGAATTAAATAATTTAAAGTGAACCCAAACAAAAGCTTAACTGGTTAGCGTGAGTTTAGGTACATTTAATTGTATGTACCACAATAAGAAAATATGGAAAATATAGCTTTTTTAATAATTAT